TTTTTTTTTTTTTTTTTTTTTTTGGGTTCTGCCATAAATAGAAAAAAAAATACCTTGAGAGATGCAAGCATCAAATGTGTGAAGCTGGCATTTAGGCAACTCTGTATCCCAGCAGGAGGAAAAATGGCACCCAACGTGGACAGTCTGCACTCCGTGATCTGGCCAAAATGTAGAATAATAATTGATCTGTTTCAGTCACGTGACATTTTTCTCATATGTATGACCTTAATTTATGACCATAGACAGGAAACCAATAGCAGAAAACATCCGTGAAGCCGTATATGCAAAAAACGTTGATCATTGGTTTTGATCCATAAGAAGTCCCAGGAAAAATATAAACAGATCTGTAGTCAGAAGTCAGAGTCTGAGGGCAAGCTAAAACTAGCCAGTGACCTGCAAATGTGTACAAAGAGATACTTATTATTCAGAAAACCCACTGGTAAAGTCTCGTAAGAAACAAACAACGAATGCTCAGATAATTTGTTTAACTTAGCGTATGTAGGTATAGCCACCTAGCTAACGTTATCATACATAGCCGATTCAACTTACCCAATATAAAGTACTCATTACAGAGAACATATTCAAATTCTCACTTGATTTTGGAATGGGGTAAAATCGAATATCTTTATTTTTCGGCTGCTATTGTCACATTCCCACAGCACGGCACACTGAAGACATTTGATAACGGTCAATAACTCCAGAATCTTTCAGTTATAAATATGGTGGTGTGGTCACACAGTGATGTCACATGAAACAGATCAATAGAAAAAGCAAAAACTCTCATAGGTTATGAATGTTTTATTTCCGAACGAACTGGATTTTCAGGTATACAAGTTCTGCTCCTACGAACGATTTACGATTAAGTGTATTCATAACAAGCTTGAGAAATGAGGCCCGATGTTCCTATGTGCTATATAAAGGGCGAAAAAAATCATATTGCCAAACTTCATAGCTGTTCCTCAGAATAGTTATGACCACAGCACACTTCATCACATGCTGCTGGGTAAAACAGATCCCTATATAACACACGGACAGAAAACAGATATCCCATGT